TTTGCTCCTGTTGAGAAGTCGAAGTACGAGCACCTCAAAGCAATGTTTGCGGGGCCGCCTCAATCTCAGTATCTTGATGCTGGATGTGCTTTGGCACTTGGCAGTAAACAAAACAAAAATATATGGCAAATCTATCCCTGCATAAATCTAGGCCATCTGTTGGATAATCCATCTACATCTGCCAAGCCATCAAAGCCCTCGGGAAGCCGAAAAATGGCGTTCGGGCCGACACTTCGGCCAGTCAGGTTACAAGAGCCGTTGAACTCCACTGAAAATTTATGCAAACGGCCCACATTTGCCAAGAGATGTGTACTCCGTTAATTTTAATTTTTTGCAATAGAACTTGTTGCATATCAGGGGGAAGTTCTGATAGTTCGATTGTTGAGCCGAATACGCCGAGGCTGCTTTCGGTTATACTTGAAGGGGATTTCTTTTTTTTCTCTTAAATCAGTCTCAACATTTGGAAGCCTTTGAAAAAAATCTCGTCCATCTTGCTGTTTGACTCAATCCTTCTTTAATAAAGTTACAGCTTCTGGTCTGAGCCCGTCCAAATGACAGCTACCAACGACGGGGAGTCTATGCTACCTTCCAAAATCCCTTTCTGGTGCCTGATTTTCGACCAAAAGGTTGTCACGGAGGAAGTCATGCAATATTCATATACCGGCTTAGGCACCGAAGACGACCCATATGCCATCGTCTGGATTCCTGAGGACCCGCGCAATCCTATGAACTTCCGCCCGATCAAAAAGTGGTCGATTTCACTCCTAGTATCATTTGCTACTCTCGCAGTGTCATTGGTCTCATCCGCGTTTTCAGGCGGAATGCGCCAGATCATGGAGGACTTTGGTGCCTCCCAGGAAATCGTTATTCTCGGTGTATCGCTATTTGTGCTCGGATTCGCGATCGGGCCTTTGATCTGGGCACCCCTTAGTGAGATCTTCGGTCGAAGACAAATTTTTTACCATCTCTTTTTTGTTTCTGACTGTGTTCAATGCTGGCGCAGCGGGTGCAATGAACATCGAGACACTCATTATATTGCGATTCCTAGCAGGTTCTTTTGGATCTTCACCATTTGGCAATGGACGCGGCACTATTGCGGACATGTTCCCAGCTTCTCAACGTGGTATCGCTATTAGTCTTTTTGCAGCTGCGCCCTTCCTAGGACCGACACTAGGCCCAGTGATTGGAGGATTCCTAGCTGCCGCTGCCGGCTGGAGGTGGGTGGAGGGACTTCTTGCTGTATTTTCGGGTGTGCTCTGGCTATGTATTCTCCTCTTGTTACCAGAGACTTATTCTCCTGTTCTGCTGCGCCGTCGCGCAGAAAAGATGTCTGCCATGACTGGGAAAGTATATCGCAGTCAGTTTGACATTGACCGTGGTCCCGCTCCTCTGGGCAAGACCTTGAGAACCGCGCTTTCCCGTCCGTGGATCTTACTCTTCTGTGAGCCGATTGTGCTACTTTTCTCCATATATATGGCAATCATCTACGGCACACTCTATATGCTCTTCGCCGCCTACCCAATCGTCTTCCAAGACATCCGCGGCTGGGGCGAAGGCATCGGTGGTCTCGCCTTCCTTGGTATCCTCGTCGGGATGATAATGGCCGTGATGTATAAATTCCCTGAAAACTTCCGCTACGCCAAAAAGTGCAGCCAGACCACCGACCGACTCGCTCCCGAACTGAGACTACCCCCAAGTATGGTCGGTGGTATAGCACTACCAATCGGCTTATTCTGGTTCGCCTGGACTAACTCGCCTAACATCCACTGGATGGCCTCGGTCGCAGCAGGAGCGCCCTTCGGGTTTGGTATGGTTCTCGTCTTCCTTAGCGTCTTCAACTATCTTATCGACTCATACACGATCTTATCTGCCTCTGTGCTAGCCGCAAATTCTACCCTTCGCTCACTATTTGGCATGGCCTTCCCGCTTTTCACAACCTACATATACCATAATTTAGGCATTCACTGGGCCTTGTCGATTCCGGCCTTCTTGGCCCTTGCGTGTGTGCCCTTTCCATTCATCTTCTACAAGTATGGCGCCCGCATCAGACAGCGGTGTCCATATGCTTCTGAGGCGGATGCCTTCATGCGCCGCCTTGCCGAAAGGAACCAGGCGACTAGCCGGGAGGAACCTGATTCGGAGAAGGGTGAAAAGCTAACCTCGGTGACTCGGGGATTTGATGACGTTGACTCGATTGATACCGATGCTCTGTCTACTGATCTGTCTTGCGGTATGGTCACACGTCGTGCGTCCCGCGCGTCTCGGCAATCTGGTCGGTCTTTGCATCGTGTTGCGACTGCAGCGCAATATGAGGAGAACCCTTACGACTTGGATCTGATCAAAACTCGACAGTCGGCTATCAGCTGCAAGGATTGAGTGGACGCGAGAGATACGGAAATCAATAGCACAAAATTAATCCATATAAATGCCCCTTTGCTGCATTTCAAAAGAAACTTCCAACTTCAAGTTGATCTTCAAAGACTAAAAGCTTGGTAATAAAAAGTTGACATCAGTTGACGTTTTTGGGAAATATATTGATTACCTCATCGTTGGGGGTACCTCAACCCATCTCTAGTTACCTTGGCCCTAACCTCCACGCTATAATAAACTCATCTCCGCTGGGGCTAGCCTGGTAATGCTGGAATTAGAAAGAACAATACTAATCACCATAATTGCTCGACATGCCTGGCAACATTTAACGTACAGGTTGACTACGGTATTCAAGCCTTCGGGTTCCACTCCTTAGGTTGTTGGATCCCATTCTCTAATTGCCGCTTCGACAGTATCGCCATACTGATGCAATTCGAACCTTTATCTCCGAAGAAATCGCAAAGATCTAGAGCCACATGGAGTTGAGATTGAGAATGCACATCCTTGGGTTGTTAAATGGGGTACATGTGTGCTAAAATAACGGGGGATCATGTTGGCCTATGTATGCATCAGCAAAATATGATTCGTATGTTTTTGTCAACTAATCTTAGGATTATTGACACTTTGTGCAATGCACCTTTCTATCTACAACATGATTTCTCGTCACTTCCAGAGCTCAACCCTTGTCAGTCTGAAATATATTTCTTCGAGGCAACGATTCCAAGGCTAGAAAGTTCATCATCTTTGGTCATCCTGTTTTTGATCCTTATGGGGAAGAAAAGAAGGGGATGAAGAGGACATGGCTCTTTGGCCCGTTAGATTGGAGGTGTTATTTCGGTTGGTCTTGTAGAAAATTGCAACTTCACGTGAAAATGTGTTGATGAAGATAGGATGGGATGGATGTCAGAATATCAAAATACCATGTGTGGCCACAACCGGCTAAGATTTGAACCGTTTTACCCCTCATCGTATTAAAAGACCCGATGCTTCCCCGGTCTTACAATGAAATCGTCTTCTGCATACTCATCCATCTCTAAGAAACTCCCATTTTTACTCCAGCCATCATGACCGGACCTAGAGTTGCATGGATAGGCCTCGGCAACATCGGCCGTGTAAGTCGACTACCACCAACTGCCCAGCCCAAGAACCTCATTTAACCCGCTATCCCAGGGCATGAGCCAAAATATCGCCCAAAAAGGGCCCCAGACAGGTCCCTTACTCCTATTCAATCGTACAACCGCACGAGCAATAGTCCACGCTTCGAAGCTTATAAACGCCCAAGCCGTAACAACCCTCACCGAAGCGGTAACTCAATCCGACCTAATTTTCACCTGCGTCGGCGATGATGCCGCCCTCAACTCAATAGTCACCGCAATCATATCGGACCCTACCATCCCGCAAGACTTGTCTAGCAAGACCTTTATCGACTGCTCGACCGTGCATCCGGATACGTCCCGACGAACCGAAGCAGCCTTCAACCAGCGGGGGGCAGACTTCGTCGCATGTCCCGTCTTCGGGGCACCGAACATGGCAGACGCTGGACAACTTATCGTCGTTCCGGCCGGAAAGCGTGCAGCAATCGAGAAAGTACGACCGTTCTTCGACGGTGTCGTGTCCAAGAAGACGATCGACCTCTCAGCCGGAAGTGAAGGTGATGTAGATGTTGGACGGGCGTCCACACTGAAAGTACTGGGCAACACTTTCATTCTTAATACTGTTGGTGTTCTTGCCGAGGCACTTGTTGCCGCTGAGGCGTCTGGACTTGGGGTTGAGCCGTTGCAAAAATGGCTGGGGCTTTTCGCACCAGGGCCGTTTGCTAATTATGCGGAAAGGATGGTCGGTGGGGATTATTGTACCCGAGAGGAGCCGCTTTTTGCAGTTGATCTTGCTAGGAAGGATCTGGGACATGCGTATAAGATTGCGAAAGAGGGAGGACTGCGGATGAGAAATGTCGAGGTTATGGATGGACTTCTGGAGGGGGTCAAGGAGGTCAAGGGGGTCAAGGGAGACGTTGCTGCTGTTTATGGGGCGGTTAGAAAGGGAGCTGGGATGGAGTTTGGGAATCAGTAATCTCTTCAATCAGTAGTGGGATTAGACATAGTTGTGGGAAGATAGAAGCTGGGATTGTTAAAATCAATCTGATGAAGAAATTAGATTGCTAGGGCAAGCTTTTGCTTGTAATGCTATTAAATCATGGTCTCCATAGGGATATGGCGGAGACCCAACTAAATGAATGAGTAGAGTTAATTATGAACACAGAATTGGTTGAAAAGTAGCCACATAGGCGGCGCGCGATACGCGCTATCCGTTCAGCCATTATCACATCACTCCTCGCGAATTTCGTGAGACTCGTCGTGGTGCTGGTGCTCACCAGTGCCGGCTTCAACCTCCTTGCGACCCCCGGTGGAAGATCCCTGCAGGTCGGCAACGATGCCCTCGGGGGGAACCCAGCCAGCAGACTTCCAGGGCTTAACGTGGAGGACGTACATGGTGTCGACCTCCTCGAGGGTCCGGCCCTGAGTCTCGTTGACAAAGAAGAAGACAACGAGGACGGCAAGGAAGCAGCAGGCAGCGAAGACGTAGCCGTAGCGGAAGTCGATGGTGTTTGAGATGAAGGGAGTGAAGAAAGAAATCAAAAAGTTCCAGGTCCAATTGGCAGCGGTAGCAACGCCCATGCAGATAGCGCGGTACTTGAAGGGGTACATCTCACCGCAGATAGCCCAGATGATAGGACCCCAAGTGGTGGCGAAGCCAACAATGAAAAAGCAGGTGAAGACAATCATGGTAACACCGGCGGAGTGGGCAGAGGGGTTATTGTTCAAGATCTCGTGACCGACGGAGGCCCAGATCATGAAGCAGACAAACATCCAAGCGGCACCGTACATCAGACACTTGCGGCGACCGTAGTGCTCGACAATGTATAGACCGGGCAGGGTCATACCAAAGTTGACGGCACCGAGAATGATTGAGGTGACGTAGGAGTTGCTGAGACCGATACCATGGAAGATACTGGTACTGTAGTAGAAGATGAAGTTGGCACCGGTCAACTGTTGCAAAGATTGCAGAGCAACGCCGAGCAAGATGCGGTGCAACATGCGGGGGCCAGTGAAGACTTCTTGCCAGGGAGCATGGCCGTGGGCGAGCTCCTCCTCAAGCTTCTGCTTCATATCGGCCATCTCCTGGGCAACGACACGGTGGTTGCTAGAGACACCGTAGAGCTTGCACATGACATCGCGGGCCTCTTCGGTACGACCGTGGCGGTAGGCGAAACGAGGGGACTCGGGCAAGAAGAGGGTACCAATACCAAGAATCAGGGGCCAGGCAAAGCCAACACCCATGGTGATACGCCACGACGCGGCATTTTTGAGAGTCTCGGTGCCGAAGTTGACAATGTAGGAGATGAAGATACCGAAGGCAACGAACAGCTGGAAAGCACTGACCATGGCACCACGAACCTGGCGGGGGGCAGACTCAGACTGGTACATGGGGACGACGCTAGAAAGGGCACCGACACCCAGACCAGCAACCAAACGGCCAATAGCAACTTGGTACCATTTGTCTGTAGTGGCAATCTGCACAATGATACCGACGATATGGAGGAGAGCCCAGAAGGAGATGGAGTACTTGCGGCCAATACGGTCAGCAATGGGGGCAGCCACCAGGGCACCAACCATAGTTCCGATGGAGAGCTAATAGACTTTAGCATGGGTGTTGACTTGTATAGGGGAATGAGATAATTCCCACGTACCAGGCCGACAATCAGACCGTTGCGAACGTTACTGAAAGCATATTCTCCGGTGGCAGCATCATACTCGGCGAAGCGCTGCTTGAAGTCGATCATGGTAGTGAAACCCGAGATTTGACCTGAAGTTCAGCTGCTATTAGCGTTACATCCATCAGTGGCGAGGGTTGTGTGACGCTTACCAGTAGAGTATCCAAAAATGAAACCACCCATGGAAACGCATAGACCAAGGATGAATGACCGCCAGGTCAGGTACTGGACGGGGCTATCATCGAGTGTGTGGTTATCTTTCTCAACTGCAGTCGAGTCTGCACGAGTAGCAGTTGGGTATTGAGATTCAGCCTTTCCAGGCTTGATTTTATCCATCAAGGCAGAGACACCCATATTGAACAAGTCCACTATGGATAAAAATAAATAGAAGTTGGAAAGAAAAAGAAGAAAAGAACGGGAGAAGGCGAACTAAATAGTGGGAGTTCCTGAGAAGTTCTCGGGAGGTGGCTCTCTTTCCTTTGGGGTACCGTGGGTACACCGTACTCCGTACTAAACACTGGAAGTATGGAGAGACATCAGAAACTATGGCTAGCAAAAAACGGGGGCCCGGATCTTGCTTGGGATTGTCCCACGTTTTCTTTTTACGAAATGGGGTATACAGTTGTAAATTTCACTCCGTGGGCCAAAGCAGACTTTTTTGGGTCTTTTTCAATCTCTAGCGCCATGTACTCCGTGTTTGGGATCCTCTTTTCTTTGGGTGGAGAAAGGTGGAGGGATGGGGAATATTATACCTGGAATACCCATGGGCTGAAAACATCTGTATAATGTACTATTTCTTCTTGGGATCGTTGCAATTGTGATGTTTCCAAAGCTCATAGAGACCAACTGCTAGTGCGCAATGCATACACTACACAACATAAACAGTAAACCGTACAAAAACATGTCAGTAGTAAACAGCACACAAAAAAAACTAACTGATCACCCGACCTTCTTGCCACCTTCTAGAAACATACGGGATTTAGTTAGATCTACTGGGTCCTCGGTGGAAGTACACGAATGAGAATTTGGTGGCTAGACCAAGGACTAGATTTGGATACGTAACATTGATCATGACACTTCTGGTTCTGGTTCCTAGCTACAACCACTCATTCCAATTAACGTGACGTAGATACTCGGGTGACATCTTTCAGGTCAGCTCCTGGTGCCATGTTTACCGAGAAGCGAATCAGACTTTGCAAATGTTGTTGAAAGAAAACAATGTGTAGGTATAACATGACAGTTTACCCGACGAAGAACTATGTACGGAGTAATCCGTATAGAAGGAAACAAAAGGTGACTGAAACCGGGTGGATTCCCGGAGAATGAAGGCGAACGCCAAATAATTAAAAGAAAACTAAAAGAATTGCTAATACCAAAGAGATAAGTGGGCCGTAGTGCGTGGACTCTACTCTCTAACTGGTCATGGGCGCGCCGATCATAGGTTTTGATTAATGAGCTCAAGAAAAAATTGATTGCAGTTGATAGCTGCCTAGGGGGTAACAAGTGAAAAAGAAATTCTAAACTTAGAGGGAGATAGTCCCATTTATATGCTTGAACTAATTCCAGTGAATTCAAACGTGCTGATAAGAAGCAACCCGAGTTGGACGTGGAAAATAGCATAGACCCACTACCGGTGAGAGTTTGGTCGACTCGCGGGCAGAGATTTCTGATCCGTTGATTTTCTGACTCCACTGTTTCTCAATCGGCACACCGAATGAGTTTCCTATCCCGAGCCGATTGCAATCCCGAGTCGGGACCGCCACCGACTCTGGCCGAAAGCACTCATGTACGGAGTACATTGAAACAATGATGTGTATGATAGATGTGTACGGAGTACGAAGCACACATTTAAAAATCCTCTTGAATGTCAACTAACACATGCTGAATGCTTAATTCTAGCATAATCCTGTTTTCTCTCCAACAATTTGCCTGCCAAGTTCGGCATGTCTTTCTCGGCATCCCTTGTTCGGCTTAGGCCCATAATGGAAAGCCCCGAAAAAAAAAAGAAGAAAAAAAAAAACTCTGCCAGGGGATCAGACCACTAAAAGAGTAAAATCAAAGAAAACTCTGTAGACACCCCTAAACCTTCTCTGGTTAGCCTCTGACTAGGAAGTAGATCACATCCCGTCAATTTGACCTTACTACCATCTATGCCTGTGTGAGCTGATTTCTTCACGCAACGCAACTCCGTAGATTACAACATAATCTGATTTTCTCGGGTGAGCCCGGCAGACTTAAGTCACATCATCTTTTGTATGTTGAATGTGTTAGAATGAACATTGAGTGTAATCTTTCTGTAGGTCTTTGTATCTGCGCCAATGTTTTATGCTTAACGCTGTTGGATTAAGAATTCTGGGCAACGATTTAGAGTTCACGTGAGACTTTAAGAGAACAAAAGATCCGCACTCTCTCTGCTTCGTGCTCCGTACAATAGATTCATCTTGGTGAACTGTTAAAATGACTTTAGATAAAACTAAATTACCAAAATAATACTATTCCAGAGCAATAAACTTCGTACATGGGCATTTGATCTATCATCTAAAGCCGTCGTGGTCATGCAGACAACGAAATGACGTCTACGGAGCACTGTACGTTGCATCAGTACTTGTGTGCACAGCATGCCATACAACCTCACAATTAGGCAACCCCGCCTCTCCCCCATGAAACGCAACTACCCCATTATGTTGTACACAGGTGACAATCTTTGAATCCGATCCAATCCACCTTTTTGTCTGGAAGGGTCCAGCAAGGAATATCGCCCCATGTCAGATGCCGTCATTCCTTTGTGTCCTGTGGCCAACATCTGGAGGGGGACTACCTCCAGAATAGGCATTATAACTGAGATCTGCCCCATTCTACCATGACTTTGTCGGAGTGTAATTACAATGTATGGTCCAAGCCATGCTTACACTTTACAATTAGAGAATCAATCTAAGCAACCAAATTATCGCACTGTCTATACCTCTCTATGCCTACAAGGATCGCAGCCCATAAACTTCCACAGTGTACATATAACCTTCTTGGCAAGCACAATCTTCATTGTATCTGTGCCACCTTGGATGCTGTATCCAAACATTTCTTTGGACATTCGCTTATCATTCTGGATATCGGTTGATTCATTCATTCAATCCAGTTGCACTACGTCAGTGGATATATAAATGCCGCACTGCTCCCAATAAATGATCAAAACCAAACTGTCTCGTATTAGTAGATTGCCACTGTCACTAACAATCAGCCCACTGGTGCATTCCATCTAAACACCTATCGAATTAACCGCCTGTAACCACTTGCTCTACGTAGCAGCTACAACATCGGCACTAGGGGGCTATCATAAAGATCCACCTTTCCCTACCCGCTAGCTATCCACTAGGGAAGAGTCTCAAGGTTACAACCCGGGGAATACCTGTGGACAACAAAGGCCGATTAGTAATCGAGGCCACCTAGTGTCCCTTGGTGTGGTAATGGATAAAATCAAAAATCAACATCTGGTTTTGGCAGTACATGCAAGATCATCAAGTCAAGACCAGGGGAACAAACTCCCACAAATCATAACTGTGTCAAATAAACTTAGAAATCATCCACAGTAAACAGTTGTGGAAACCAAAAAAGCGTGTTAAGTGAACATTTGGACGAGGAAACCCAGGAGGGGGAAAAAAACTGAAACATTAAACGCCCAACACCATTTTGCACCCGGTATCAAAACCAATGGACAATGATTAAGAATGGGTCTCGTTTCAGCCGCATCGTCATCAGCGGGGCTTCTAACGACGATCTGTCTTGCCCATACCACGCTTTCCAGAGAACTAAAGACAATGGAGTTAGAAGAAAATTCCGACGAAAAAAAAGGCGGGGGAAAAAACGTACCAAGTGCTTCTCGAGTGAGGCGGTTGTGTGACGATCAGCCTCACCAGCACGAGCCATACGGTTCATCTTCTTTTGGCCCAGCTTAGCCATACGCTCGGCTTTATCACGATTGCTGAAGGTGGTAATACCGTCGAGACGACGGTTAGTTGCCGGTGTGCTGCGAGCGCGGCTCTTAGCGCGAGCAAGGGCCTTGTGTGGGTTGTCGTCGACGTCCATAGCGTCGGGGTCGGCAGTAGGCTCACGGATAGTAGTGCGGCCGCGAGGCTGGTTGGCGGCGCGGGCACGAGAGCTAGCTGCATCATTGTCGTAGCCAGCGGAGTCCAGGCCCCTGCTCATTTCGGACAGCTTCTTCGACTTGGCGCTGCGGGGGATGGGGGCACGGTTCTTGAGCGACTTGCGCATCTTGGCTTCGTTGCGCATCAGCACGCGCTTTTCGCGGATGAGATCGGCCTTCAAGCGGTTGTCAGCGTCTTCGGCGTCCTCCACGCTCTCGTCAGACTCGTAATAGCCATCTGCCTCGAGCTTCTCTTCTTCCTCCTCGAGGGCAGCAAGCTTGCTCTCGATATCCGGATCCACAAAGTCGTAAATATTCTTGCCCTTCCACACCTCGGGAATCTTGTCGTGGTTCCACTCCTCGTTTCCAAGGGTGTAGTCGCGCTGCATGTCGAAGTTGTAGACACCGGCACCGCCGTTCTCCTCTTCGATGTCGCGCTCCAGTCTCCGGCGGTTGGGGTCGTTCTTGTCGTACTTCTTGAGGTCCTTGACGGCTTCGGGAATGAACGTCTCGCGCAGACCGCCCATAGGCTGAGCCACGTGAATACGGGACAAAACGTCTCCGAGACGGCTGCCGGGGGTGGCAGCGCTGGAGCCGGACTTGAGCTTCTGGGAGACTCGCTCAGCGAGGAGCTTGTCGCAGGCGGCGTTCTTGACGGCAGTCACGCCTTCGGTGGTAGTACAAGAAGCCTGCAGCATCTCAACATCCTCTGCCTTGAGGATCTCCTGCAGCTGCTCCTGGTACTCAGGCTCTAGTTCTTCCGGACGGCGCACATCAATTTTGTTGACAACAATAAAGACAATTTTGTTGGCGAATAAGGGCTTGATGCTGTGGAAAAGCTTGATCTGGTCGCCGACGGAGTATCCACACTGCTCGGAAAGGTCCATGAAGTAGAGGATGGCGGAGCGTAGGTGAGCAACAGCGGTGATCGATTGCATTTCAATGGTGTTCATCTCCTCCAGAGGGTGGTCCAGGATTCCGGGGGTATCAATGGCCTGGAAACGGAGGTATTTGTAATCGAAATGGCCCACAAACAAACTCTTAGTGGTGAATGCGTAAGGTTGAACGTCGACGTCTGCGCGGGTGATGTTGCGCAGGAAGCTGGACTTTCCGACGTTGGGGTATCCACAGATCAGGAGAGTACGAGTGTTGGGGTCGATCGAAGGCAGACGACCCAAGTGCTGGCGGACCTGCTCCAGGTAGACGAGGGGGTCCTTCAGGCGGCGGGTGATTGTTGCCATGCGACCGAGGGCAGCACGCTTGAGCTGCTTGCACTGGAACAGAGACTGCGCATACTTGATGAGACGGACGTAGTCGCGAGAAACGGTTTCAATCAGGTGCTTGGCGGTCGAGACTTGACCAAGGGCGATACGGAAGTGGTCGGCATCGTAAAGAGTGTTCATCAAGTCCTTATCTGGTGTGGACGTTAGACCCCACCCGAATAGCCAAAATCGCCAAAGGAGTGAAACTTACGGAAAGGATGGATATCCTGAAGGCGAGGAAATCCATCGAGGATGTGCTGGAACTTCTCACCGAAAGTCTCCTGTGTATATTTGACCTTTCTGGTGTAGAATCCTAACGTTGAAAAAAATCAATCAGCGATTGTGCTTTATCGATAACCTCAGCAGCTTTTTTTTCCTTGTTGTCGCCATGTCGGATCAAACAGAAGGAGTACAGAAGGATTGGGATCATACCTCTGATACGGCTGATCTTGAAACCAGCACGAATCTGTGTGGGAAGCTGTCTCTGAGTGCGACTCAGGACAATATCCAGAAATTCCTGGTGTGTCGGCACAGGCGCAATCTACCAAGCGGTGAAAAATACATCAGCAATCTCCTCTTGTCAAATCCGGCTTAAAAGGGCAGTGGGGAATTCACTCACATCCTTCCATGTTGTCTTCATGATGGGCACAAGTCAGGAGTCAAAGAAGTAATGACTCTTGAAGTAATGCCGTGAGTGAATGAGTGTAGATAGAGTGGGTTTTTCTCCACGAAAAAATTGTTAGCAGCCCTTTTTTCTGCCGAGCGGAGGATTGATCTGGGGACAGGGATTGGACAAACTGTGATATAGGCGAGTCACGTGATCACATGACAAAAAATCGAACCAACCAAGAATTCTTGTGAATTTCCATGGAACGTTTCTATTTTTGAATTATCAATCTCTCGCCATATTTTAATGTGATGCTCATATAAACTGCATTTCCGTCAACTATGGTACACAGTCCGTTGTGACCGATTCAGGAAGCCCAAGCTGTTTCTGCCTAGATTCATAAAAAGTAATCCCGCCACCCCAAGAAACTCCATTGCTTTTCTGTTATAACCCCGTCTAGGTTAAACCCTTGAGATGAGACAAAAACCGGATGTGCGTAATAAAAGACATTTTTAAACCGTCCGTAGTTTGACATGCTTCCAGCCGAAAAGATGCCAAACAAGAAAAAAAAGAAAGGAACCCAATGGAAATTTGTTACTCCTCAAGAGGCTCGGGTCCAAACTCCAGGATCTAGTTGAGATCAGTATAATCTTTCTGATAGTCGAAAACGAGCACAAACCATATCAACCCAGCCACCACCACCGAACTGGCACTTGCTAGGGCCATGGGACTCGAAGCCAAATGACTCGTAGAAGGGGATCAGGTGATCGTGTACAATGATCGCGATGCGCTCAGCAATCTGGGCCTCTCTAATACGGTGGATATATGACTTCATCAATGTGCTTCCGACCTGCTTACCCTGGTGCTTTGGGTCCACAGCAAGCGAATGAATAGCAATGGTGTTGCCACCTTCTTCGTGGCCAACGGGTTGTCCATCCTCAATGGACCAACGCTCGTTTTTCCAGTTGGCCGGAAGTCGCATCGACCGGTCTGTCACAAGAAGCTCCGAAGTACGGGTGGCAATGATGTGTCCAACGAGCGTTGGGCGGGGTTTGGTTTCTCCTTCTGCGAGCAACGGAAGAGTGAAGAGGCCCAAGCTAAGCTCGGGGCATCTGGTGAGACGGTATACGAACTATCAAAGTATTAGCATAAAAGTATTTATCAGTCCAAAGTCCCATCCCATTTATCTTTTAGTTGACTTTAATTCAAATATAGACTCCGTACTCCATTTTGGTATAACTGGATTTTGAACAGAATTCGGGTAGCCGTACCTTGTCATAAGAGCAACGCTCCTGCTCGGGGAAAGCTTCCTCTACTTTCACACAATCTTCCACATTAGATGCGGAGAGCAATTGGACGAAAGGATGCAGGTCATCTAGCTTTGTGCGGTTGTGCGAGGGTGGGCGGCGGAACCAGTATGGGAAATCGTTTGCGTCGTCATCCTGATCAACCGTAGCATAGTCCTCATCCACTTCGTCGTCGTCGTCATCGTCCTCATCATCATCAATTGGAAACCCGTTGGCTAGTTGAATGCCAGCACGGCTCATGATACGTGATAAATCGCTGTTGTCGGGGGTTCCGAGGGAGAAGTCATCCGCATTGGATAGTGGCCTCAACCCGTTATCCTGGCCAGACATGGACTCAGAGAGATATTCACTCTGATCGGACATAGTGGGCGATTGAAAAAGGAACTGGGAAATCGGAGGCCAGAGCTGCTGTAGCGGCAAGGATCGAAATTTCCGAGGGTGAGACCAGACTAATGTGCCACGACCAATTGGAGTGCAGGGGGTTCCCGGCTTGGTGGCGAAGACGAGGGATGTGAATCTAAAACGGTGGGAATTAATTTCATGCAAGTGTTCGGACTAGTTTGGAGTCAAACAGATAGATCCAATTTTTTGGCAAATCGACAGCTGTTGTTCCTGGTAAAATTAAAGGGAGTCGAGTCTCAAGTGCTTCCACGATGGAAAATGTTGGCAAATCATAAGAATTTGCGATGGTATGTGTAAGGAGAGGGGTGTTGCAACGTTGTCTTGGATCAAAGGGAGTAGGGACACTTACTTGGGATTTGACAATATTTGACAATTTGACCGTGATAACTCCAGATGTTTGAGAGACGTCCCCGGGTGGTTTCCAGACGAAGTACTCGTGGAGAAGGGAACTTTTTGCAGTGGGGGGGAAGGGCGATAAGTTCCGATAAAGTACAGGAACTTATCAGTACTGCATTCTGGCCCGTGTTCGCCACACATTAAATGTACTCCCAGGTATTAGGTCTGTACTGTTACATTTGGCACCAAAGCGGTCTACTTTTTTTTAGTAGGGCTATTGGTGTCTAGACCTTGCCGAACTTGATTTTCTAAATCACTTTTTTAGCGGACGGCGTATTAGGTAGGGGCTTAGTTTAGATTCAAACGAATTGTTGATGCGTCATTATTTAGGGTCAATCATTAAACACTACACATCTACATCTATGTAAGCCCTACACATGGTGGTATTGTTGATCTACAAGGGCAATCGTGCCAAGCCGCTCTAGGGCTACTTGCTATAATCTCATCTCGCCTACTCCGTAGCCTCGTGAGCCCCGAGCCCCAATAAAGAGGTTTCACTTCAATACAAGAGCTGCAATAAAGCAGATCGTCCGAATAGAGGTAAGGATCATGGTCATGAAAGCGGAAATCGTGATTTACGTAGGTTGATTTTTCCTTCTCTCCATATTTTTGGTTACAAGGTAGTAACTCCGTACCAAAGAAACATTTCTACTACATCATTTTGTATGCTTAAATCAACCTGAAATGAAGAAAGTCTGCGCGGTTTGTCCCTCGATGCTCGGCATCTACAACCACATGTACCTAGATATGGTCCATTGGTGGATTATGAATTTAATGATGAAAGTCCGGTGGATTTCCCCATCTCCCCCTGGCTGCCTGTAACTGAGAGAGATGGTATTGAGTCTACAAATGAAGCTGTAGATGAAACTGGAGATCTCTGGATGCGTTGTAAAAGAGAGAAGCTATCTACAGGTTAGCTAGACTAAGTACTAGGAGCAAACAAAGAAGCCATGTGACTTCTAACAGTCACACATAGTCTAGCCCTACAAGTCCGGATTTAACAAATTCACTAGACAGAGTACTCTATACAGAAGCGACAAACTTAGATGTAGGCATGGCAGCCCTGGTGTGGATATGTTAAATGCCTCCCTCTTATCAATCTTCGTATCCACAGGCGGTGAGCGATAACCGAGGATGCGTCATATTTTCTTCTCTTTTTCGTTTTTGATCTTGACTCATTTGTTCACTTTCTTTGCATATTGTTATGGTTTTTGTTGGTTCATAATCAGATTGCTACTCGGAGGGTATTGCACGGGCCTTAACTGCTGAGGCGAGCAATTGATCCCAAAACATGCACTCAACCATTAGCTCCCGAACTTTGAACTGGTCTCGAACGGCCAAATCCTCATTAGTCAAGGTAATCAAACCTGATCTACCGCATAATACTGAGTATTCATTGACTGGAAGCTTGAAGCAACATCTCGTTCGTCCTAGTGACCCCATTGCGGCGTGCCCGGCACAGGCGCTGAATGTCCGAACTCAGATCGCCGAGTTCTCGGGCAGCAGCGAAAGGAAAGATCATCTCGGCCACCGCGCAAAGGAGAAATTGCTCGATCGGGTCGGTGGCAGGTCACATTCATGTCTCTGCGTTATTTGCTAACGGCTGCCTGTTTGGCCTAGGACTTCTTTCTCAGCCTTCTGAACTCTGCGTCAACTAAGCGTGAAGCCAAGTCGTACCTAGCTCGGCTAAAGGCCCGCCCCGACAAATCGAGCCAGGAATCTACACCCATGGTCCCAAACGGGTCCGTATCAGCATCTCTCCCCCCTGGTGTCAATTTGGGCTCGTTCTATGGTGCTTCCAGGGCGGTGTACGACAGTCCTGTCTTCCGGCAAGATACAACTCCTACTCCGCGCGCGCAAGATATACCCGAAAGGCTGCACTTGGCGCTGATCAAAATCACCACCCCGCAACTACTCGATGATATCGTGATCAATGGAGTGGCTAAGACCCTGTCGCAGCTCACCCGTTTGGGGATGGCATGCTGCGTGGTTGTCGATCCCGGAAAGATGGACGGCCCTGCCGCGCGACAAACCGCCATTGAGCAGGCGAACCGGGTATCGGCGGCAGTCGATGAGCAACCTGACTCGAAATCCTTCAGACTGGACTCGGTATTGTCGATATCACAACGGGGGTCTGGTGCACCCAGGGTGCTCTCGCGAAAGGTGCTCTTGAGTGCCCTTCGGGGTGGTCATGTGGTTCTTATTCCTCCCGTCGCCTATACGGAGGAAACCCCACGAGCTGTCACCATTTCAGCTAACGATGCGGCCCTTGCACTAACGAAAGAGTTCGCGGGATTGTCGTTAAATCCAGACCCGGACGAAGATCCTACAGTCACGGCCGACATTATCAGCACCCTGCAAAGGGAGGTCTCACTGGACCGCATCGTTGTTCTTGATGCTCTTGGGGGTATTCCGGCTTTCAAGGGCCCCCAATCATCGCACGTTTTCATCAACATGGAGCAAGAGTTTGAGCAAATTACCGATGAGCTTTCCCAAGCACGAAACTCCGTTTCAAACAATGATTCAAAAGCAACCCCAACTTTCGACAGCAATCCACTGTCAAAATTTTTCAATCGCGGGCTTGTCTCTCCCAGCCGACCTCCCGCGTCTGGTCAATCACCGGGTGCCGAGGTGATGGAGGAGGCACTCAATGGCCATTTAGAGAATCTCCGCTTAGCCCAACAAGCATTAGCCATGCTACCATCAGCATCGTCAGGCATCATCACATCCCCACAAGAAGTTTCCTACTCAGCTCGTTCACCGCATGAGGCAGTCTCCGACTTGTCAGCAGTCGGGACCCGTCGACAGCGCAACCCGTTGATCCACCACCTCCTCACTGACAAGCCTCTACTATCATCCTCTCTACCCCCAGGTCGACGCGGTACTCCCAATGGCATCAGGTCCACCGCAGCTAGCCCGATAACCTCTCACACGACCTTCGTCAAACGTGGAATGCCTCTTACGATCCTCCCAAACCCCTACACAAAACCCTGGACAGCCCAGGTCCAACCACGACTAGGGCTGAACGACCCAACCATCGACCTTCCCCGCTTAGTCAACCTAATCGAAGACTCCTTTGACCGCAAGCTCGATGTCCAAAACTATCTCGAGCGAGTGAACAGCCGTATCGCTGGTGTCATCATTGCCGGCGAGTACGAAGGCGGCGCAATCCTCACCTGGGAATTACCGCCGGGCGTACCAGACGACGGAAGCCAAGCTAGTGCCGCACGCATGGTGCCCTATCTGGATAAATTTGCCGTGCTCAAGCGCAGCCAGGGGGCGGGCGGTGTCGCGGACGTTGTGTTCAATGCGATGGTGCGCACATGTTTCCCCCATGGAGTCTGCTGGCGTAGTCGGATAGACAACCCGGTTAACAAATGGTACTTCGAGCGTTCTTTAGGAACATGGAAGCTGGCAGATAGTAACTGGGCGATGTTCTGGACCACGCCCGGGCTAGTGGAGGATACTCAGCGCTTTCAGGACTATGAGGTTGTTTGTCGGTCTATTCAGCCTAGCTGGGCTGATACGAAAAGCGTCATTGACTGATGTGTGTATATGGAAAGGAACATTGGTGTTGAGGAACACAAATTATTCTTGATGCCTGGCGTAGCTCAAAATATGGGCTTCCTGCATCCTAAAATGGAATGGATAAAGAGTCCTTACAATATGTATACCGGGATCAACCGATCAATGACACATTACATTGATCCTAGGATCGGACCGAGCGGGGCTCGTCACATATTCGGGTATCCGAAAGTATCGATCATTTTCTTTATAGTCAAGGATCCCCCTTAGATTCCTTTAAATTCTAATAAGTCTCAGTTTATAGGTTACTACAACAGTCTACCCTATAAAGATTCACCACCTCCACAGTGGCGTACTAGCGTATAAATTAGCATAGTATTTAATATGGTATTTTACAAATTGATACTACATAATTCTTTTAAAAAACAGGGTTCTTGTCAGGGTGCGGGCTGGCAGGACGGTATTATAGGAGATGACTGGTAGGAACAGGCCGTAACAGATCAGATTCCACTTGACAGGTACAGGCAGGGGCAGGCTATTATACAAGACGTAGCTCGAAGAGCTACAACAGGATCTAGAACTGAAGTTCAGATAAACAGGTCAGAGATCACGTGCCGTGATCTTCCTCTAACTAAGCATCACGGTTCGCACCGTGACAGTATCGTGACGAT